CTATATCAGATGAAATGATAATGTATATAGAAAATACCAAGGACTCACCAAAAAAACCTGTTAGACAAATTAAGCAGAGTGGCAGGATACAAGTTCAATATCCAAAAATCAGTGGGATTCCTCTACAGTAACAAAGAGAGAGCTCAGAGAAAGAAGGCAGTACCATTTACAATTACTTTTGTTGTTGTTATATGTTATCAACTCATCAATGAATCATAGTGACCCTATGTACTACTGCTCCGAAGCCTGCCCTATCCTGAGCCAGTCTCAATAATTTCAACACACCCGCATTGCATGGTTACTGTTTCAATCCATTTCATCTAGCGTCTTCCTCATGTGTGCTGTCCCTCCACCCTTCCAAGCATGATGTCAAGTTCTTGTTCCTCTTTACAATGTTCCCAAAGTATGTGAAACAGAGCTTCTAAATCTGAGCCTCCAAACCTGGTTTCACCCTCTCCAAGACAGACCTATTTGTTTTCTTGCCGGTCCATGGTATGTTCGAGACTCCTCTCCAGCACCACATCTCAAAGATATTGATTCTTCTTCTGTCATACATAGTGACTGTCCAGTTCTCTGATGCATAGCAAACAATTACAAGGACCATGACCTGGATAAGGAACACCATAGTATCTAGACTGACAATGTTGCTTTTCAGTACTCTGGAGAGGTCCCAGACAGCAGATTTTCCCAGTGCCACTCCCTCACTTCTAGTGCAAAGAATGTTGATTGACAGAAAACTACCAGAAATACAAGCTGGACTTAGAATAGATAGAAGCACTAGAGACATTATTGCCAGTGCCAGGTGGATCTTGACAGAAAGTAAAGAGTACCAGAGGAATATCTATCTAAGTTTCATTGACTATGCAAAGACATTTGATGGTGAGGATCACAACAATTTGCGGCTAACCTTGAGACAAATGGGAAGCCCAGGACACTTAATTGTGCTCATGTGAAGCCTATTATTGGACCAAGAAGTAATCCTCAGAACAGAGCAAGGAAACGCTGAGTGGTTCAAAATCAGGAAAGGAGTGTGCCAGGGAAGCATCCTGTCTCCATACCTTTTCAATCTAACTGCAGAAGAAATCTTTTGAGAAGCTGGGCTTTATGAGGAGGAATGTGGCATCAGGATTGGAGGAAGTCTCATCAACAACATTATGCAAATGATAGAAACTTGCTTGCTGAAATCAAGGAGAACGTGAAGTGCTTGCTGCGGAAGGTCAAGGACTGTGGTCTAAAATAATGGATTGAAGCTCAACATCAAGAAGACAAAGCTTCTCACCACTGGACGAACTGGCAGCACCATGATAGAGAAGAGATCAAGGTTGTTAACAATTACAGCTTGCTTGGTTCCACAATCAACCATTTACAATAGCTAACCACAAACTGAGATATTTTGGAAGAAACCTAACTAGAGGCACAAAAGACTTGTACAAAGAAAACTACAGAACATTCTAATGAGACACAATAAACGACCTAAAAAATGGAAAAATATTTCCTCTTTATGATTAGGAAGACTCAATATTGTGAAAATGACAATCCTACTGAAAATAATTTACATGTTCAATGCAATCCCAATCCAGATACCAAATTCAGTTTTCAAGAACAAAAGGGAAACTGTCAGGTTTATTTGGAGAGGAAAGAGACCCTGAACAAGCAAATCACTTCTGAAAAGCAAAAATTAAGTTGAAGGCATAGCACTCCCTGACCTCAAAAAAAACCTACTACACTGTGGTAGTAACCAAAACAGTATGGTACTGGTACAGGTTCAAGGACAGGCACATAGAACAATGAAAAACAATTGAAAACCCAAAAACAGATTCAACAAGGAAATAAAACCTGTCACATGAGAAAATGACAACCTCTTCAACAAATGGTGCTGGCAAAACTGGACTGCTATCTGCAGCAAGCTGAAACAGGATCCACATCTCATATCATACAAAAAAATTAACTAAAAATGGATCAGAGATCTAAGAGTAAAGGCCCAAACCATAAAGCTACAAGGGGATCAACCTTTAAAGGCCTATTCAAACAAACTGCCAAATACAGTAAAAAATATACAATCTAGAGAGGATAAAATTGATAACTGGGGACCTACTAAAGATTAAATCTCTGTGCTCACCAAAACCTTTTTTTTCAACAGGGTGAAAATAAAACCTATTGATCGGGAACAAATATTTGGCAATACCCTCTCAGTCAAAGGTCTCATAACAAAAGTTTACTGAATACTACAGTGCCTCAAGAAGAAAAACACTGATAACCCAATTCCAAAATGAGCAGAAGATATGGAAATATTTTTCACAGAGGAAGATATTAAAAATCACTGGCAATAAAAGAGATGTAAATCAAAACCACAATGAGACATCATCTCACCCCAGTAGCAGGAGCAAGGTTTAGTAGGGCAGCAAGCAATAAATGTTGGCGAGGATGTGGAGCAGATGGGAACTCTCATACACTGTGGGTAGGACTATAAAGTGGTGCAACCTCTGGAAGACATTTTGGCGTTACCTCAAAAAGTTGTACACAGAAGCTCCATATGACTCAGCTATTTACTACTAGGAATATGCTCCAAGGAAGTTAGAATTGAGACACAAATGGAGATCTGTACACCACTGTTCATAGCAGCAATGTTCATAGTTATTCACCATCCCAAGAACATGGAAATGGCTCAAATTTCCAACTACAGCTGAATGGATTGAGAAATTGTGGTAAATTCACATAATGAAATACTATGCAATATTCAGGAATAATAATTCTGAAAAATACTACATAACTTGGGAAAGACTGCAGAGCATTATGCTGCGTGAACTGAGTCTCATAAGGACAGATGCTGCCTAAGTAAAACACGTCTGAGGACCCAAGGAGGGAAGGGGTGACAGCAGAGGGGTGAAGATGAGTAGGGTAAAATTTTACAGCTTGGTGGAGAGAGGGGGTGAAAGAAATGTGAGGAATCTGGTTGGGACCTGAAAAGATTAGGTAATGAAAGGTCTCATGATGACTGATTATATAAAGCATTGGGAATGACTGTATGGAACACAATGTGAATAAAGATGAGTGTGAAATACAATGTGAAATACAATACTTTGTAAGCAAACCAACATAAAACAAAATAAAAAAATTCCACTAAAAAAAGTCTATATTAAAAAAGGTCTACAAATTCACACTGCTGGCAAATATTTATTTTATAAGCAACAACTGAAAGATTGCTAGATTTGGAAATGTCACTTTAAGCCAATATTGTAAAGAATGAGTCGGGCAAAAATCACCAGTGGAGGCTGAATCTAGGGTTAAATTTTGATGAGAAGAAATATAATCTTAAACTATCTTCCTAGAAGTTACTTAATATTCATAAGCCAAATAGTCATAATTCTTCAGTGGAGAGATCAGGCAATAACAAGATACCAAAACTTGAGATCAAAGGTATCACCTATGATAGATTGATGGAAGCTGCATGTGTATAGTTATTTTGCCCTAAAGTAGAGAAAACAGTATCACATTAAAGCCTGGGATACAAAATCCTGTATCCCATGAGGAAACAAATATAATTGGAGAAACATTTTACTAAATAAATTGAGAGGTGAGGGACTATATTTTTCAAAACTGTCAATAAATAAAAGGCAAAAAATGGCACTGAAGTGTTTGAGTTCAGGAAACCAAAGAGATGTGACCAGCTGTGTGAAAGAAGGATCTTAGCCTGGCTCCTATAATTAGAGTTCTATAAGAAAATTATTGGGTCAATTGAGAAAACAGAAATGCAGATAGCAGAGTAGAAAACAGAATATGTTAAGTCATAAATTTAATGAAGCTGCTAACTGTGATAACAAAGGATATATATA